GCATGCGATACAGTAGAGGAAGGAAGGAGGAATAGTTATAGTGGCTAATATTTTAGCTAACAGTTGCCTACTTACCCATCCAGCACACAGAGCACTTTAGGGTTGTGTTTCAGTCCACCTAACAAATGTAAGTCCAACATTCACTCTCTTTTTAGCTTTGTTTTGGTTTTATTGAAAAAAAAAAAAAAAACACACCTGTTAGAAGGTACATTTTTTTCCCTGGCTACCTGTTAGCTTAGCCTCTCTGCCATTTTGGTAACCTTGGCTTGTATGGGCTTGTTTTCAGAAAAAAAAGCTTTTTCTTATTGAAGAGCTGTGTGTTTATTTTGAGCCAAAACAATGAGCTAAAGAGGCAGATTCAGTACAAAAGTTTTAAGACTTTTAGGCAATGTCTTTGGGCCTGGAGGCCTCTGTTCCACCTGACTCTTTGAACCATTGAAGAAAATATTGGACCTGTTATTGTTCTTCACCATGTAAACTTAAAATGTCAAAACTGATTTCATTCATCTGAAAAACCCTGAAAGACGTTTGATGGTCGGACCTAAAGTGAAGAACTGGGGAAAATGGATCTAGGACTGATGTATCCTCACAACAGAACAGATTGTGGTAAATGACAGCAGCACTGTGTTGCTGAGACTGATACATTTTAGGCTGGAGACACTGATGCAGTAAGACGCTTGAAAGAAACAGACACAGAATCCAAACCACATACAAATACTGCAAAATGTTGTCTGTCATGAACACTTCTCCATTAGCAGCCCTGTACGTATAACATACAAACAAATGTAAAGTGGGGATCCATCTGATTATCATTTGGTTTATGCACAATGAATAGAGGGTCCAAGGACATTTTTAAAAGGAACCAAATAAAAACAATAATAGAAACACTTCAGTGCAGTTATGGATTGGGCCGTTAAGAGCAGGCTGTGCCTGTTGTTAATTCATTATGTAAGAGCAGTAAGGCAGACAGGTTGGCTTGCCAGCTGATAGGTTAGCCGAGCTTCTCCTGTTTCACTGTGCAGATGCCGACCGCAAGTCTTCGTTAAAGTTTACTTGAGGTGGTGAATATCACATATCACATATCACCACTCGACACCAGCTGCTGTGCACTCTGGGATTTCTAGTAGGTAGGCCTAGTAGGTCAAGTCTTATCAGATTTATTCAGAAATGCTTTAATCGAAAGGGTTTATCGAAAATGTTTTACAGAGCATGTGAGGAAATGTTACTTGGTTTGTGTAACACCTTTCAAACACAAGAGCATGTCTTGTTTTAAGACATAGAAATGCATTAAGATAACAATTTAAAAATATGAATAACAATGCCTCCAATCATTGGCAAAAAAAACCCTATAATGTTCTACACCAGTCCTTGTGTATTTGTTAAAACATGTTGTCTTACTTTCTGAAATAAAGAAGTCATTCCATGCCACCGTTGCTCAACAATGAACATGTCTGTTGAGACAATTAAGCACAATACTATATCTTTTGATGGTTGAAACCTTTGTTAATTTTGTGTTGTGGCTTAAAATGTTTGCTGCTGTTGAAAACAGCTAAAAGAAAACATTTGAACGTCTAACCTTGCCAGTTATTTTGGATTATTGATTAAAACTGCCTAGCTTTTGAGTTCTGATTTATTTTCCAGAAAGGCTCCTAACACAGGCTTCAGCAGTGTTGACTGAAGTGAAAAGCTAAGTCAGCTCTGTGTGACTGGCAGCCTTAGACTCTTGTTTGACACCTGCGTCATATATTTGACATGTCCGTGGCACCTGTCAGAAATGATTCCACAGTGACAGGAAGATAGATAACAGTTAATCTACACATACAGATTCCTCCTGATGTGTAGTTAAATCTGTCCATTAATCTGTCTAAATGTTACAGCAATATGTAGAGTATGTAGAGAAAATGCACTAGACAAAAATAAACTGCATGGTTTTTGCCCAAAAACATAATGATATTAGCATAAAGTGGGCATCTGTAAAGGGGAGACTTGTAGGTACCCATAGAATCCATTTTCATTCAGATATCTTAAGGTCAGAGGTCAAGGGACCCCTTTGAAAAAAAATGACAATGCTAGTTGTTCCATCACCAAATTTTAGCCTAATTTTGAGCGTTAATTAGCCCCCTTCCCAACCATGCATGCAACAGCATGACATGGTTGATAACAGTGGATGTGTTAAGTCGACAGTGTGGTGTGGAAGAGGTGAGGATGATGGGGTTGCAATTGGGGGGGGCCAATCAGATTTCAGGGGTCGCACCCCAGGCCTCCCCCTGGAACTGCCCATGCAAATAGGAACATTTTAAACTCAGTGTATAAGGATGTGATTGCAATGTTAAAAATAACCTGACAGGATCATCAAAATAAGAGAAGATAGGATGATTAAATACTCAAATATTATTATCAAATACTATCAAATAATACCTGTTAAAAGGCAGCAATGGCTCAATGTTATTAGACTGAGCATATACACATCTGTAGCTGTATAGTGCATGTAATTGTAGAATCCACTGGATTGCTGATTTCAGCAATCAGTATCTGGAAGCTGCATTCAAACTTTGTTAAGGATGCATAATAAGCTCAAAATAGTAGACCAGAATGCTTTATGGTTAGTCAATTTGAAGTACTTCTGTTCACATCTTCAACCCCACAGGGCCACTGATCCGAGCACCAGCTCATTTACTGTTTCAGCTCTAATATGAATATGTTGAAATCAGCCGGACGCAGCCGTACTCCTGATTACTGTTGCGTAAGGTGCTAAATGACACAAGTCTAATCCAAGCTCAGTCCATTCATCCTGGTGGGCAGCTGAGGCCTTCAACCAGAACTAATCAGACGTGTTTTCCTGAAAATAGCAAAAAGGGAAACTGTGTTCAGGTTCTGGCCAACCATCCAGCAGTGGGTCAGCTGCCAGGGGACCAAGTGGCATTTGGGTTCAAATGAGTTTATCAAGTCCACCAAAATCTATCAGAATGTTCTTTTAATTCTGTTTTTCAGTGGAGGAGAATGCACAGATGTTTCAGCTGTGCCTTCTTCAATGTGCAACAGCCACTCTGACTGAGTCTTTTATAACCCTTCACCAACAAAGAGCGTCAATTAATTCATCACCTGCAGGTTTCTCAAGTGGCTCCCTGTGGTAAGGCAGGTGTCTTCAGAGTTGCATCACTCAAAGTCTCATAGAGCCACAGCCTAATATTAAACAACACGCATTCTTTCTTTTTTTTCTTTTTCTCATTATATATTGTGTCCATATAGCCACATACAGGCATTTGCACATTTCAGATATATTAATGTGAGCTATTATTCTAGTCATTCTTTCCAAATGTTGACAAAATCATTCAGTTGCTGTACCAGTATACACACTCACACCCATTACATCCATCATTCCCACAGGCTTATGTGCAGGGATTCATCCATCACTCTATCCACTGTGCCACCTAAGCACAGTAATGGATTAATTCCATTCATAAAACATGTTTACGCTGTTGGACACGTGTTTTATCTTTCAAAACACAACTAAAGAAGTTTAATACTGTAGTTAATTAGTTAGATTGAAACCAAGCTGTTTAGGAAATATTGTATGACTAACATGAGTGTTGTGTTTCTGAGGTCTATACATATTGTTGCTATGCAGACAGAGCTGTGGGAAGACATAGCTGAATGGAGCCTGCAAGAACATGGCGTTAGAAAGAAATGCTAGTTAAATTTCTCTGGATCGGATTATTAGCACACTTCTGTTAGCTAACAGCATTGATATTCTTATTTTAAATCCCCCGCAGTCAGTGGTCTCACAGCAGCTGCTGTCACTGAGACAGATGATCGGCTGCTCTTCCAATGCCTGAGTTGTAATCAAATAGCCTGGATCTTAATCTGGGTCTGTTATAGTCATATCGTAGGAGTCAGAACGTTTGGCAATGCACACTGCATGCCAGGCATTTTTAAATGCTGATTTCACCAAAAGCAACCACTTTGATGGAGTGCACGACTGGAGTTCAGGCTATGAGTGCAAAACACCAAGGATGCTCTCCTGTCATTTTTAATTACGCTGCTTTTTCACCAAGATCTATGGGAAATGTGTCTTTGCGCAATTAGAGTACATCACAGTTTTTAACAGCGTGGCATGTTTTGTTTTATAGAAGTGTCCGCTGTGAAAAAGGCCACTCAGTGAGGAGAGAAAGTAGCATTCTGAGTTCAGATCAACCACCATTATCAAAGTAGCTCCTGTTATCTACAAGGAAACAAAGGCAACAACGACTTTTGGCATGTATGGCACATATTTTGAGTGCTTCCCTGTGTGATAAGATGCACACACACATGCATCAGTGGCTCGTGCCCTCAGGCTATGATGCAGACCAGATTAGTTTTGGATGGCAACATGAATCATGTCTGGATGTGTTTGTGAGTGCAGGGGAACAATAAATAGGCACACAACCGTACAAAGGGAAACACATGAAGTAACTGTCTTTACAGAGAAAGTGTGTGACTGCAAAAACATATTAAACACAAAATAACCTCATGAATAATTGTTAGCTTTCTTATTTATTTGATGTCATACAAGACAATACTAAGAGTCTACGGCCATGTTAGCAGGCCTGCTTTGAGCTAAATGCTAGTAAGTTGTTCGTTTTCAGGGCATCTTTGTTATCTGTGTTATGGCAATCCATCAATATGTGTTGAAATATTGCGGCTCGGACCAAAATGTTGGATCAGCTTACTGGCATCCCCGGAGCCCTGCTGCTAGTGTGGCAAAACATATTTTTAGAGAAAGTATGTTTCGAAATCTTCAAGGCGAGGAAATTGTTGAGTCACTGGCAGTGATCGTCCATCCCATCAATCCTGAGACGTAACAAGGCCATTTGCTGATGAGCCAGTAACATTTGTACATTACTGCCCTCTAAAACAAAATCAATGGATGCTGCTGGACTTCCACTGAAGGAGAGAGGGCTGCAGGAGTGTTTCACTGATCGTTGCTGCCAAAGTGACACATTTGCTTTCTGTTTTCACAGAGTTGAACATGGAGTACAATCCATCGGACCATCCGCGGGCCAGCACCATATTCCTCAGTAAATCCCAGAACGACGGTAAGTAGCTCTGTTTCATAGGCTTTGACCAATTTCTCACTTTTAAAATGGTTATTTTAATGCAAACCAGATTTAAACTCATCAGTTTCACCAAGCTAGTCTGAGTAAAACACATTTGCCTTAGTTTGACGTGTTTGTACCACACAGAACACACTTAACATCGTCATTAAATACAATCAAGATAATGAGGCTCTGGAAAGAAAGTCTGGGATTTTCCGTGGAGAAATACTGTGGCAGCTCTGATCCCAGAGCTGTTTCTTTGTGGCTAGCCGATGTCTGCTAATTTATGCCGTTGCCCAGAGGCATCTGACTGAGAGCTTCAGCATCCTGTGGGGGGGCTCGGCCGTACAGTGACAGAGGAAATGTTAACATGTTTCTTAGAGCCGTAAACACCACAGCATGAGATCATCGTTTTTCTTAGAGGCCTGGGGAACAAACAGCAACAGACAATACAAGCTTTGTGATGCTGATGAAAACGGCATCTGATGAATGATTTTTCCTGTTAAATATAATCCTTAGCATCATACAGATATCAGATGCTGTACTGCATCATATTGGGCTTCATCCAGAGAATTTGCATGTGCTGCAAACAAACAGAAAAAGGATAAATAGAGGAGCAGCATGGAATGATTTTCATTTACAATATTCAGTCTTGTCTTGGGGAAAAAAAGTCACATGATGGTGAGCCCGCCTCTCTCCCTCTTCCTCATGGCTTTAAAGGGTAAAGCTTTTCTAGCCTTTTTATTTGTTTTAATCAACAAATCCCCTGAAGAGACCAATGTACCAGTGAATTAATCCTACTAGCAAATATTGTCTGTGGAGTCACAGCCTGACATGTCTTTGTGCCACTGAGCTCCATTGTGGTTAGAAAACATGCAAAGGTTGAGGGAGGCAAACAAGTTGAAAAAGGGCTAGGCTGAGGCAGAATAAAGAAAACTCCCAAAACAGGATCAGGACAGGAAATCTACAGGAAAATACTAAAGCTGGAAAGCTACAGACCACGGCACACAGACAGTCTGGCAGGGATCTAGTGGGTGTGAACCAGTACATAGGCTGGGAGCTAATGAGGTAGTAACAAACAGGTGAGTTTGGTAAGCAGGTGAGGTGACTCTAATGGCTGGAGGGAGTGGCTGGGTCTGAAATGACAGCAGAGTTAAAAGATGAACAAATGAATGAAAACCATGACAAAATATAATTAAATAAAGTTTTCAAATGGTTTTATTTGGCTATTGTTTTGGTCTTTCATTCTATTTGTTGACTGCCGGCCTTATCCTTTAATCTGCTGGGTTTCCAACCTTTTTGGCTTGTGACTGCTTGTCACAGGTTGCAAATATGTATGAGCTGTCTGTGAGCAAATTATTTTATTTCATGTTTATGCTCCAGTGCATTACAAGGTAAAGGCAAACAAGTAAGAAAAGAAACAATTTTGTGTAACAGCTGTTTTTGTCATCTCCTTTCCTCCCATGGTATCATCTCCTGACCACTCAGATTTATTTTGTGGCCTTTTTGCGGGGCCCTGACCTTCAGGTTGAAAACCGCTGCCAACCAAGGAGGCAGACACAGAAATATAACCTGATTTGAATATATTCTCTGAGCGGTGCTTACATTGCTAATGCTTACTGCATGTTCTCTCCATTAGAATCTGGATTGTGTTTGTATGACATTAGCAAATGTTGATAACTACTGGTGTAGTACTGTATGTTTGAAAAGATTTCTGCTGAGAACCAGTAACTCTACTGCAAACAGAATAAGGTTTTTTGGTTCCTTTTTTTTTTCAGAGATGCCCTACAGGAATGGTGAGTAGCCCTGCGTGTGACTTTACCTCCCTCTAGTGGAGTAACAGCACCCTTTCTTCCGTCTGCTGCAGCTCTGGTGTTTCTGCTATCTAATGTTATTTAACTGTGACCTCTCAACGCTTATAGACTGCTTTGTCCTGTGTTACAACTCACATAACGAAGTGTGTTAACTCCTTGCTGTGTTTTGCTTCTTGTGATAACAGTGTGTGTTGCTAGTTGAAAACTGCTGGGTTTTGTCATTTTGTATAATTGTGCTGCTGTCAGTTGTCAGAAATTAAAAGTATCCTTGTCTTTCTTTCTGTAGTGCGAGATAAACGAAAAAGCCTCTTCATCAATAATGTAAGTGTGCAATTGTTTCTGTTTCTGTCCACAAATCAACACCATGTTATTTCACAATCATGCCACTTCTTATTTAAATAGCCTGATGAACCTCAGATTCACCTGTGAGTCATTGCCTTCAGTTAAAATCAGCTAGCCTTTGTGTTATTGTCAGAGGACTTAAAGCTGGACACAAAGGAAGCTGAAAATGTAAAACATCACATTCTCAGCTCGCATGACACTGATTCTCATTCCCTCTGTGCATGACACCCATGCTTTATGTGGGTCAGACAAAAACATGTTCACTCTAATAACAGTCACTGTGTGTGTGTGTGTGTGTATGTGTGTGTGTGTGTGTCTGTAGCATGGTACATTGAGGCGGAAATACAGCTCCTGCTCCACTATTTTCCTAGATGACAACACAGCCAGCCAGCCCAACCTCAAATACACCATCAAATGGTAAAAGACATGATAAAGACTATCCATCACATAGGAAGATGTTTGATTTATCATAGACAGATCTGTTATATTTAACTCATGTATTTTTTTTCTTCTATTTACAGTGTATCACTGGCAATTTATTACCATATAAAAAACAGGTGGGGATTCTCATGTCATTTTTAATATTATCAGTGCAAACAGTCTTCTCTGTAAATCCCAGAACAAACACACAGGTACTGTATGCATAGAACTATTATGAATATAGGGAAAAGCTTCAGTACATGCTATTAAAAATTTAAAAAAGCTTATTACTGTGTGTGCACAGTATATTTATAGTTTTAATTAATCAGGTATGTTTTAGAGATAACACAAGAAAATTGCTCTCTTAGGGTTAGGGTTAACCTTAGTCCTAACCCTAACCCCTAACCCTCTCTAATACAGTGATCTAATTTAACACATAGAAGCAGTAGATTAAGTCTTATTTCATTGTTGAATTTTTAATTATTTAACAAATTAACCTTGTAGATGTTTTTCCTCATGCCAGGGACACAGAAGGAGGGATGCTGCTAGATATATTTGATGAGAAGCTCCATCCTCTCACAGTAAGACTTCATCAGTTTGCTTTGTCACATTTTGTACTACTACTGTGTCACTACCTCTCTGGTTTATTTATCTGTTACATTTGCCTCTATTTAACTTTCTTTACACCCATATATTCCCCTTCTCTCCTCACCTCTTTCTTCCATCCCTTCTTCCCCGCCCTCTGCTCCCTTCTTCCAGAAATCTGAGGTTCCGCGGGACTACGACCAGCATGACCCAGAGCAGAAGCAGATCTACCGGTTTGTCAGGACGTTGTTCAGTGCCGCTCAGCTCACTTCTGAGTGTGCCATCGTCACACTGGTAAGATTTTACGACCTCCTCCATCCTCCTGTTATTTTCCGTGGACCATAACATAGAACTCTCAAACGTACATCCTGGCTGACTCGCCATATGGAAAACAAGCTAGTAAACAAAAGAATAAGCATTGGCAAGTTTCTTCACAAAGCTTTCCCACAAAGGTAAGGCGCAACCTGCCTTGAACTGTGCCCTGACACACACAAACACACACAGTTTCTGTTTAGGCCTGAGGGGAAACTGCACCCTGATATGTTGAGACAAGCCAGGGATGTGTGTGTAAATTGGTTGATGAGGCTCTGCATCTAAAATACCACGTCGTCTTGTCGTATGTGGGTGGGTCACAGAGACTAGTGATGAATGTAGGATGTCATCCAGGAAAGAATTAATGTGAATGAAAATAAATGAGTTAGACAGATTGGATACACCATTTTCAGGATGTTAAAGGTGTAACTATTGTGTTTTCAGTAACGTCTCCTTTATCCGTGTTGTTGTGCAGGTCTACCTGGAGAGGCTCCTGACCTATGCAGAGATCGACATCTGTCCGGGTAACTGGAAGAGAATCGTTCTGGGTGCTATCTTGCTTGCCTCCAAGGTCTGGGACGACCAGGCCGTGTGGAACGTCGATTACTGCCAGATCCTCAAGGATATCACTGTAGAGGACATGTGAGTTTATTACACGATAAGAAATGGAATTGGTTTCAGACTTAAGATTCATATTAGGATTAGGTCTCAGAACTGGGACAAAAAGGACGATAAAGATGAATCCCTCAAAATTATTTTCTGATAGATTTGACCTTAAATGGGAAATTTCATCATCGCAGGGACAGAAGACTAAAAACGTTGGATTTTGACCAACCACTGGTATTAATTTCTGGACACGTTAAAACAATGTGTAAAGGAAATGAAAATGTTTCTGCCCAGCTATTGTTGACCCTTGAGTGGTCAACAGCACACTGCTTGCACTGGGAAACTGTTAAAAGCATTTAAACCTTCCAGTTACCAGGCCAGGTCATGAACACACATCATCAAAAGCTGGATAAACGACTTGGACTTATGTATTGATATTCTGATTTTACGTAGTGTGTGTGTAAGGAGGGAGATGTTTATTATAGAAAGCCAGCAGTGGTGCAGGAAATCGTGATTTCATGAATGAACCTCTAGCTTATTCCTCCTCAGGAATGAGTTGGAGCGCCAGTTTCTGGAGCTGCTGCAGTTCAACATCAACGTGCCGTCCAGTGTCTACGCCAAGTACTACTTTGACCTGCGATCGCTTTCAGAGTCCAACAACCTCAGCTTCCCCCTGGAGCCGCTCAGCAGAGACAAGGCCCAAAAACTAGAGGTGCTTCTATTCAGCTGTCTTTTCTGTCTTTGTGTATCTTTTTCCTTTCCTTTGCATTTTGCCAGTGAAATTTAAAGCCACTATGTGTAGAATCTGAAGATTTCTTACTTTGGCACCCCCGGTGGTAGTATAAAAAATAGACACTGTATTATAAAGCAATGCATGCTGCTCTTTCCTTCTGCTAATCTTTAAACGTTGTTTCCTAATTAATACAAAGTGGTTACAATCTAAAGCAGAAATTCTGTGTTTGTAGGGTTTTTAGTCTCCGTTTGCAACATTCATCTGAACATCGCAGAAGTGCAACAGTAAACTGCAAAGAAATTCCTCATTTTTTAATAGTTTAGCAGACTAATTTACCTAATCTTATCTTTTAATGTGATGGAAATGCAAACAAACAAAATTGGTCAAATTGGTCAAAAACGGGCTACAGAGTTCACTGATCTTCATCAGGATTGTCTCATTTCGTCAGACCACAGCATAAAATTCTACAAATAGGGGCTTTACTAATCTAGATTCATCACAAGCATGCAGTTCTTGGCTGAAAGTAAAATTTTGGTTCCTTCTTAATAACCCATTCCATGTCCTCTCCTCAGGCTATCTCCAGGCTATGTGACGACAAGTACAAGGATGTACGGAGAGCTGCAAGGAAGCGCTCAGCCAGCATGGACAATCTATGTGGGATCAGATGGGTTCCTGCAATCCTCTCCTAACAACTATTAATCTGCCATGTACTGAACACTGGCATCAGGCTGCAGACACTGGCTGGATGAGAAAACTACCCAGATATTACAAAGACATGGAGCAGTGATTGGAACCTGAAATCATGCTCTGGTCCTTACACCTTCAAACTGGAGGCAGGAAAGTGAAACCACCATCTGAGGAGATGAGGTGAATGCCAGACAGGTTTCTAACTTAACCTGATGCCTTCACAGTGCCTCACCCATTCTGTTCATGAAAGAGAGAAGAGAGTTCCAGGTTGTTACATCAGCTGTTAAGAAAGATCTAGCTTTGGACCAATCAAGTCCTGGACAAGGCGGCCTTGAAAGCCACCTGCGACATGGCATTTTGAACCTGTCTTAATCTTCTGTGTTTCTGGTTTTGTCCAGAATAATCTGTGTCTGGCTAATTTGAAATATTTAATATAACCTGCCTTTGAAATGGCCCTGCAACTTCACAATGAAACATATTATTTATTTTACTTGATTATGTGAACGGTTGCAGCTGTCTGACCCCATAGTACCTGCAAATACAGTAGTGTAGCACTGGAATTTCTACCGGTTATTTATTTCCTTTGACAGGTCTTAGAATAATGAAAGTGTTAGCAAGTTTTCTCCTTTGGAAATCTTTATATTCAACGTTTACAGTATTTCTAGCGTACCTCTCAATACTCAGGTAGCCTGTTTATTCTTTTGATTTATGGTGATGCTGAGAGTCGAAACACAAATTATGACAAGTGACAAATTGCAGATGGAAGGAGCCAGAATAATTAAAACATTGTGACAACATTCCCCACAGATGGCACAAATACATTCCTACTTTGGGGGCATAATCATGAGCATGATCAAACACTGCATAACATGAAATATAGACCAGAGCACGTTCAGATTCAATATTCATCTGATTTTGGTTACATCTTAACTTCACTTTGTCCAATTAAAATTTTAAAAAGCCACATAGAAGCTTTGAGTAGAGTTAGCCCACCTCTCTGCTGACATCTAGTGGATATTTGAGCATTGCAAAAAGCTATTAGTTCATTTACACACAAAATTCCAAAAAATGTATTGTGGATGATTATTTTGCACCTTACAAATGTATTTAGCACATAATCATACTGTTACTGTTACTGTACAACTAAAAGTTGCTGCAAACAGCTGGATGTACTGGTCTGACAAGCACACTCTGCAGTGGATGCTGGTCAGTAGAGGGCGTGGGGAGGCCACACAGCACTGCTTGGTTTTTTATTCAGTATTATAGAGCTAGATAACAGTACATTACATCTACAGTACATTTGGAAAATCGTAAATGAAGTATCTCATCAATTAAGTCTCATGCTCAATGGCTGCTAACCCATTGTCTTTATTTCCTAGCTGACCCCTTCACAGTGCTGTTTGATTGATGTTAAACATTTAACTTAGACTGAAGGAAGACAGTAGAGCCATGCCTGTAACGCCTGGGTTAAAGGGTTTTGAACAGCTTTCCCAAATTCCTAAAACCCAATAACTAAATATTCATAGGAGGCTGACACATTGCTAAGGAGAAGGGAACAGAAAGTTAACTTTTCAACAGTAGTCTCGACCAAAGAAAAGTGTACAAAGGTGGGTCTGATCATAATAAAAGACCACAAATCATTCAAGAGATCTTGCAGTGATCTGCTGTGTGACCAGTAACACCAGTGTGTCCTGTTGATCCGCCCTTAAAAAAAGGCACCAGCCATGGTGTATGCCTCTAAATTCAGATTACTAAAAGAAGTAAGGCATGAAGTGTGCTTTCATTCCACACAAAGGTATACTTTCATTACTTTTAAACCCCAGAATCATTATGCTGAACACACACAAATTGGACAAACATTTGAAGAACTTCAAAAAATCATTTCAGCATAGAGAACACTTTTCAATCTGATGTTAATTTCTATCAAGACAAAACCCGACTGCTGAGCCAAGTCTTTAAAGGTGTTGAAACTGCTGAGGAACTGATTATTTTGTATTTCCATTGTACATTTAATTTCAATCTAATTGCTACTGGTAAACAACTGATCAGGTTTTCATGTTTGTTTCTCATTTGTCTGAAGCACTAAAATCTAATTATTTTGCAAAATAACTTTGTACAATGTATAAAGAGTTGAAAAAACTGAGACGGGTTCATTGTGAATTATTTATGGAGGTGTTTTTAATAAAAATGCTCGTCTAATAATTTTGTGTTTTTAACTAGTGATTTACACATTTCTGACAATGACAAGAGGAGTGTTCTGTTTAATAGCACTGGCATTAGAATGAAGCTGCCACTGACTTTAAGTGTCTACTAAAATAATAATCATTACCTGTCTGTGAATTAGAGATCACCTAAATGCCATTTAGCTGTCTGTCTTAAGTTTATGATTGTCTATTACAAGCTCGCCTACGTATGATTGCTAGCTTCCAGTAAGGTTGACTGGTACCTCGACATGCCAACAATGCTTTGATGGCAGCCTGGTAAGAATAGCTCTCTCCACAGGGCCTGGCCTCTGCAGACAAGAGTGTGAAGCAGTAAGAAAATATTAGAGGTGACTGTATTTAGTGGCAAGCTGTGAGGGTCAGCACTGTAGTTCTGGGACAGTGTTGAAGGGGACAGCAACTCCCTCCCTCTCTTTGTTTTAAAGAAGCTTTTCTTGAGAGTTTTGGGGTTGTTTTCTTATGGGATCAGGGTCAGCGCTCAACAGCGAGGAAGATGGGAGCGATAGATCTACTTTTCACCACTGTCAGTCAAAGTGTCTCCTTTATGGGTAAGTTTTTCTTTTGTACAGCAATGTTAGAAACTATAAAATTAGAAATTTGTTTTTTCTATATTATGACAATTACACATTTTTAACCCAAATAAACAGTAAGTATAAAGTGCTATCAAGTTAAATCAGTTACATCTGTAAAAATGTTATATTCTCAACCCAAGGTGTGATTTAGGTAGATGCCTTAAATAATTCATTAAGAACAATGTATTTTTAGTAAGTGCTGGTAGGATTTCTGTGATTTTCCTGCCATAGTGATATACTTGTCTTACATTATTTTCTCTCTGTCAAAATGTATGTTTTTGCTTTTGTAATTTTGTCATGATATTGATGTTTTATAGTGTAATACATTTTTGATTTACATATATTTGTAAACAATCCTACATTATGTACTTTATTATTTGCTTTTCTGCTGTTCTGTCATCAATCATTCATTGTGTCATGTTTAATACATTTGATTATTATACAGTTCAATGTAATTGGCTGCTACAACAACCCACTGGGATTATTTAAAATTAATTTAATCTAATTATTACCTAATCATCTGTTTTCTATTATAGGTAAAACCTGGTGGATGTTGATGCTGGTTTTACGTCTGCTGGTCCTCCTGCTGGCTGGCTTCACCCTCTTCATTGACGAGCAGGAAAGATTTATCTGCAACACCATCCAGCCAGGCTGCTCTAACGTGTGTTTTGACGCATTTGCTCCTGTATCCGTCTTCCGTCTCTGGCTCTTCCACCTTATTCTGCTCTGCCTTCCCCATGTGCTGTTCGTAACCTACGTCATGCATAAAGTTTTGTCATCTTCCCGTTCCGGAGGTTTCTACTGCGACAGGAGCCGAGGTGGTTCACCTTTTACCCTTGAGAACTCGAGCTCCTCAAGAGAACTGTCCTTGCATAAAGCTCCACTTCACTACCTCCCACATGAATGGGGAGTGCCGCGCTTCTACTGCGCTTACTTACTGGTTGTAATTCTACGGATCCTTCTAGAAGTGGTTTTCGGTGCAGGCCAGTTTTTTCTCTTTGGTTTGTCCGTTCCTAAGAGCTTCCTCTGTTACGAAGCTCCCTGCACATCTGGGGTCGAATGCTACATCTCCAGACCAACTGAGAAGACCTTAATGCTCAACTTCATGCTGGGTGTTGCCTCCCTGTCCATTCTGCTAAGTCTGGTTGACCTGGTGAGCTCCATGAAGGCGATGGTGAGGTGGAGGAGGAAGAAGGAGATGTTAATGGAGGAGATGAGTAAAGGAGAGCAGAGCAGTATGTTTACAACAACTATGACTGAAGACAGTTCTGTTCTTTTAACCAGAAGAACCAGCCTGAGTGGAGGCTCAAAGAATGGTCTCAAAGATGAAAAACATGCTGTAGCTGCTGTGCCAAATGGTGAACCTCTTCTTGCAAATGTGAATGGTGGAACCATAATTAAAACGGCTCAATCCACTAATGACAAGAGGCCAGAAAGCAAAGATGCTAAGGTGGACACGTCTCGGTCACCCACTCCCATGTGCACTCCGGTGCTAACTCACTTTGTCCTCCACAGCCACCTGAGACCTCCACTGTCCCCTCGCCCCGACACAGGACCACCACCAAACCCCAGGGTGCCAACACTGGGTGTCAAAAAGCCCAGCCAGTACACCCCAGTTGGGGCAAACTCAGGCCAACAGTCTGATGGAAGTGACTCTCAAGACAAGAGGGCATGGGTGTGATTGACTGGTTGCCATTTATTGATTAGTTACTGGACGAAAACTGCTGTACCTTTAAAGGGCTTTAACTATATTTAAGCATGAATTTATAAAAAGACTTGATGCACTATAAAGGAAGATTTGCTACAAATTTTAAAGCTGCACTAATTAATATTTTTTATTATTTTGTATAATGTGAAAGGTCTTGCAAATAGTGGCAAACCCACAAAAACAGCCTTTTAGCAACTTTTTTCAGCGAGTATTTGAGGTACTGGTGGCTAGAAAAATAACATCAATAGTAATGTTGCATAATGTCTGCTAGATATATAAAGTTGCTATGGTGAATAGCAAACCATTGCCTATGATGAGTGTAAGTCATTATGTGTTTTCAGCTTGTTCCACTGCCATCAAGTACCCAAAAAGTCAATGAATGTTTGTTCTTACCTCAGTTTATCACAAGAAATTGTGCAAACACCTCAAGGGCTCATGACATGCAAGAGACTGCAAAATGTTCATATAGTAAAATACAGCTCTACACTTAACACATTCAACAGTTAATAAAAAAACAGCCTTGTTTCAAATCTTAACATGTTTCTTTTTTTCACATGATAAAACTGATGTGTAGTTCTTCTTGATGCATGCTTACTGAATACAAATTTTTCTAATAATAAAAATCTGATGCAACTGATGCACTTTTTTGTACAGTCCAGGCTATGTTTGTTTAACACTTCAAGCTGTTTCTGTATGAGAGAAGGAGTCACCCACAAAAACAGAGGCTGACCTTGACGAAGCAGTTACAGTGCTCAGCTGTTGTCTGGATGACTGAATCTCTGGCAGCCACAACAGACACACTGACCTCTGACCTCTCGCATGACCGCTCCATGACCCAGCCATGACCTGACTTAAGCCAGCCCTGCTCGGATGACATAAGACCTTCAACCCTCTCGCCACCACAGTGCAAGAGTCCCTACCATTTCACCTAAATGATACAGCAAGTTATTCATGATCATAATCCCATTGGATTTCACAGTTGATAAAATCCTGTATCTAGGATATTTTATGTTTTTATATATTCATCATTTTCAGCATCTTTCAGTCATTTTCCCCTTGGAAAAGTTCTTTTTCTTTTTCAATCAGTTGTCCTCTTGTGGGAATTCTCTGCAATCACTGTGAGCTGTGTGCTTTTAGCGTTTATTTATTTTACTTTATTTTCAAAAGCGTTGAAGGTATCATTCTTGGACCAAAAAACTCTCGGCTGCAGTAACTGTTGTAAATACAAATTTTAACTTCACTTAAAACTGACAATCCAACAGCACCACCTTCACACCACCACTACCTTCAGTGTAGCCGTGACCCTAACACATGCCTCCATACCATTCTCATTCTTCTTCTGCTGTGGTATTTAGGGCAGCTAAGAGGTGCAGAGACATTAGCAAGGTGGCCAGTGGTCAGTCGGGTGCTCAGAGAAAGGATTGTACTGTCACTGGTGGAGATCAAGAGGTCCGATAAGCAAACCCAGTGACCCTTACACATGCGTCACGCCACATCCACGTGAAACAGTGTCCCTAAAGTAACAGCATACGTCTGTTGTTGCTGACACTCACAAACACTAAACGAAACAATTTTGTTAGCTATGTGTCCTTGGCCAAATCCCAGCCATCATGTCTGTCTTCACACATGGTGTAGTCATGATATCAGCCATGTTAAAGGCACCCTTTGTTGTGCAATCTATAATAAGATCGTATGGAACAATTTGCTTGCACCAGAACACAGGTTTCTATATTGAACTTTTTATTGTCGTATTGACATTTCACAGGATTGAAAAAAAGAGATACTACATGGTACTACATAGTTAATTGATTTAACTGACCAGAATTTTGAGGATGACACCCACAAAGAAATCCTTTAAATGTTGGCACATGTAGGACCCTTCTTATTCTTATCTCTGCCTGCATTCAATCCTAAGGCTAGTGTTGTTTTTACTGCCATCTAGTGGTCAGTGATAACTATTGCAGTCATAACTTTGCAGTTTGAGGATATAAACTCTTTTCCCCATACCACATCAACCTTGTTTACCACTAAAATATGATACAAATTTTCAGAATCCCTTCATGGAAAGTTATTTTTTAAAGCCTATTAAGTTATTTCCAATGGGATTTTGATTTTTACAACCTTAAAGGCTTACTATGATTTATAAAGTTGTCATGTATCTGAGTTTTCTTCAATAAAAATGTATTTAACTTAGATATCTCATTCAGAGACAAAATGGCTCATATGTGCACTCTGTGTTGTACAGCTGTGTTCAGACATCAATACAGAGCAGAATATTAGGAGTCAGTGCCTTCGCTGCCCATTGATCTCCTCCTCAACTGAAGTTAATGCGTCAACCTGCGTCCGCCTCAGGTGCAATAACACACTCCAATCTCATGGGTGACAGACAGAGGAGATTGAGAAGTAGGAGGGAAAACTGAACATTGACCACAACAGCACATCAGAGAAGATGTCAGAGGCATCAAAAATATTGATTACCCAGCATCCCCTTCACCTCTAAGGTTGTAGTTTAGATGAATGGAGATGGAGGGGGTGGGTTGGGGTTTTTCCCAGATGGCCATGGCTTGGAAGACAAAATCTATTCTGTCTCCCTTTGATGTTGATGATGGAGGGATTGTATGGTGGAAAAAGAGAAAGACTGATCCAAGAGTGCTGGTTTTGTGTAAAGGAAGGCTGAAG